AGTCCATCTGCCTACCCTTTAGCAAGTAGGATAGCTGCCAGAAGTGATCGTTTGGCTCAGGGGACGCGGATCAGTGAAACTTCCTGCAGACTTGTGGGGACTCAGAGGAGCCGACGGCTCCTAACCGTAATAGCATAGCAGATCCAGAGATCCATACTCGTCATGTGCACGAGCATAGCCCCTCCTCCAGCACCCAGCTCCCGCGCTATATTATGCACGAGTCAACAGCAGACTCGCAGATTCGCAAATCCTGACTCGCTGTGCAACACACAGCAGACTCGTGCGGACTCAGAGCCGTAACCGTATAGCAGCAGATCCAGAGATCCAGCAGACTCGTCATCATGCACGAGTCAACAGCAGACTCAGATTTGCCAAATCGCAAAATAACCCTTTTTTTTGTGATCAACATTTTTTATTAAAGCAAAATACACTGTGTAGCGGAGGTTAATATAACGTCAGTTTAATAGATAGATAGATAGATAGATAGATAGTACTTTATTGATCCCAAATTGGGAAATTGTTGTTGTTACAGTAGCATAAAAGGCATTTTACAATAAAACAAAACTACAAAATATACAAGAATAGAAAGAAAAATAAAATAAAATATAAAATATACATGTCGAAATAGAAAATATACATGCAGATATTATATATATATATATATATATATACAAATATATATATATTCAAAATATATGGAATAATAATATGCTCGTGAAATGCAACAACTTTTCGGTTTCACCGATAGGATTTCTACGGTCTTGGTGATGCTGACTCATATGACTCAAATGACTCGTATGATCCGGATCTCTTCAATGACTGACTCAGAAGACGCTGAGTCCGTAAAAGGATCCGGATTTGCCATCTCTATTTCTAGTTTTATATAGAGGTGTAGGAGGGGCTTATTTCCCATGTAACTTTCGTGAAACCTCGTATGTCACGGTGAGCAGGTGAGTATCCATAGGTTTTTTCTTAATCCTGTTTTTTACCTTTGTGACCCCAATAAAATGTTCATTCCAAATTGTTATGTTGTCTCTGTATTTATTTACAATTCACGTCTTGGCCGCCGGCATCGTCTGGAGCATTTCCACACTTACTACGTGTCGCCAGAGGAGGAAGAGGACCACGTGGACCTCGAGATGGTGGAGATAGGGGAACAGGAGGCGGATGAGGAGGTGCCATTTGTTTTCGCCATCCCGGCGGCGGCCCCGTTCGTCGAGGGGGAAGACGACGAGGGTTCCTCGATGACGGGGGCTTCCGGTTCCGGCGTCCAGGAAGGGCCGCCGCACAGATTCGCTCGTCAGGACTTCCCACACGTCCTAACGCGGCGGGACCATAGACTGTAGGGCGGGACGTGTGGGGCTACTGCTCCCCCGCCGACGCCGGTGAGCCGCCTCCAGTTTATAACCGTAACAGATCGAAAAGTTCAGATGCATTTTTCAATAAATGATGCGCTTCCACAAACAACAAACAACATAATTATTACATTCAAACAAACTGCTCATAGTAGATAAAGTACATTATTAAAAAGTTTACATTAACTTTGATCAATAACACGGGAGAAACGGATCCTTTCTCTCCCTCTCTCTCCCTCCCTCTCTCTCTCCCTCTCTCCCTCTCTCTCTCCTGACAGCCGGTCAGTTTCTCATGCAGCTCGCTAAACAGTGGACAGAGCTTCAGGTGATCAGAGCTGCGTGTCTCCGTCAGATTCAGCAGCTGATCTGATCTCTGATCTCTCTCTCTCGTCCGGTTATACTCCATATCGATCAGATCCAGCTCTCCTGATCGGCCTTTATAGAGAGCACCGATCAAACTATTAAGAGTGGATATCGGCCAATAATGATCGGCGGCAATCGATCGGAGCATCCCTAATTATTACCGGACATTTTGACCGGCAGGTTGTGAATTTACCGGTTTTTAATAAATGTTACCAGCCAAAAAACGGTAATTACCGCCTAACGATCACAAATATATAACATCTGTTAATAAAAGTTTTTATGAAGAAGTATACAGGCTGCATATCATGTGTTCTCAGCCTTGGAGAAACTTGACATGTTTTGGTATGTGTCTGAACCTCTCTTTAGTGGTTTAATAAAACAGATATTTGAACGTGTGCCTACTTTGTTCATGTGCTGTTGAGGTTAATTTCAGTAGTTGCGTGCTATAATGTATTTACAAAGTGTGAAGAGGAGGCAACTTTAGAATAGGGAACCTGTTCAGGTCAATTAGAGTCAAACTACTAGCTTATTGGTTATGAACAAGACTTCCCTTTAAAATAGGGAACATGTTCTTCGATAGAAATACTTAATTTTGAGTTATTTAGACTTAAAGGTAGGGTAGGTAAGTTTGAGAAACCGGCTCGAGATACACTTTTTGTTATATTCCATGGAATGCTCTTAACATCCCGATAGCAATGAATATCTGAAGTGCTTTGACAAAAAATCCATAAAGAAATATCATCTGTGGAAGCCGTAGTACTGTAAAAAGCACGACCAATCATTTTAGTCGGCCCGGCTAAAATGATTGGATGGCCTACCTGCCTGTCAGCCTTCCATCTGTGCACAAACTTATCTCGTGCCCTCATTGGTCATGTGCGCGTTCGTGTGTGTTGGAGGAGGGGCTCTGTAAGGAAGTGGCAGATTTTCTCCGGTTGTTCATTTTCAAATTCTAGCGATCTCGAGCCGGTTTCTCAAACTTACCTACCCTACCTTTAATTAACACTTATAGTTTCATGTCTTGTTACATAAGGATAGATCATATTTATTATGGGAGAATTACTATTCTTGTGGTACTACTGCCTTATTAGGTCCATATTGAGCATATTAAGACCAAACAACTTCCTTACTTGCAATAAATAAGCACCAATTAGAGGGTTATTGAGGAAAAACTCTCAGCTAATGGCCTATTACTTGTAGAATATGGTCATGTAGAATAAGGCATTAATAGGTGTTTTATAGTGACTAATAAAGAGCCAATATACTGCTAATATGCATGTTAATTAACAACTAGTTGATGGTGAATTGGTGCACCTTAATATAAAGTGTTAACAAAAGTTCTTATTGCAGCTCAAATTTAGCTAGCAGTGCTCTGAGCAGCTTCAGGCTTTGTTTTCAAGGCTGTAAACCAGTCAAGGAATGAATATTTAAACTGGCTTCCTGTTGGATCAACCTGACGTCCTTTTAAAGTATACTCTCTCACAACCAGTACAAGGTCCTCTCACATAAACTGTCATAAGCTCTCAAAAACACAAACATTGTCTTTCACATACACACTACTATACCCTCATACATACTACAATCCCTCTCTCACATACACTATCATTCTCTCTCACACACACTACTATACCCTCATACATACTACAATCCCTCTCTCACATACACTATCATTCTCTCACACACACACTACTATACCCTCATACATACTACAATCCCTCTCTCACATACACTATCATTCTCTCACACACACACTACTATACCCTCATACATACTACAATTCCTCTCTCACATACACTATCATTCTTTCTCACACACAAAGTGTTCTATCTTGCATACACTACCAGAGTATTATATTGTAGTATGATGTTGTCTGTAAGTGGGAATAATAGTCTTTCTAAGAAAGTACAGTTTGATATGTAAGCAAGTTTGATTTATGGCCCAGACAAAAGTGTGTGAAAGAGAGTATGATTGTGCGTGTAAAAGTGTTTAGCTATATGTATAAAAGAGTTTAATGGTGTATGTGTGAGATTCTGATATTGTTTGTAAGACAAAGTATGAGTTGTGAGCTAGACGGCCTCTCATACATGACATCTCTCCTTTAACACTTCACACACACACACACTAAACTCTTCTCACATTACATGTCACTTGTTATACGCGTTTATCCAAAGCAACTTACGTACTCAATACAGTGTGCAATCCCCACAGGAGTGGGGTGAAGTGTCTCAGGGACACAACGTCATGCTGACTGCAGTGGGGTTTGAACCTGTGACCCCCTGATCCAAACACCAACGCTCAACCCACTGCACCACACGCCTCCCACACACTAAACTCTTCACACACACACTAAACTCTTCACTAACACACTAAACTCTGCACACACACACAGTAAACTCTTCACACACTGCACACACACAGTAAACTCTTCACACACACACACTCAACTCTTCACACACACAGTAAACTCTTGAAACACACAGTAAACTCTGAACTGTCTGTACTACTGTATTAACAACGTCTCACGTGTTCTGAATTGACCAATCAGAATCGAGTATTCAACTAGCTGTGTAATAAAAGTTGTTAGTAGCCTTAAGGGCCTACACAGTTATTGTGCTATACCACATTGCCTTTCACTGGATGTATAATGAGCTGCACTAAACTACATTAGCATTTAAAATACCTAGCCATTCTTTTGTGGTTATTTTGGTGAAAGCAACTCAAAAGTAATATAACATTTATTTATTTATTTTATTTAACCTTTATTTAACCAGATAAAAGCATTGAGATAAAATCTCATTTTCAATGCTGACCTGGCCAAGAAGGCAGTAACGTTACACATAACACAGAACACAGACATATGAAATACAGAGAACACAACTAAGAAAACAAAAGAGGAAAAAGCAGTCACTACATTGTGCACATTAGGACAGTAAGAAAGGTGCTACTTATTACTGCAAGAGCAGCTGGTAGTGTGACAAAAGTAGTGTGACTCATTACATTTCAGAGACAGTAATATTGTAATGTAACTTATTACATAAAAGAGACAGTAATAAGTAATATGTACTGTATTACATTTAACTTGCCCAACACTGGACAGGACACATGTTTCTTGATGCTGATTCTAAACATCTGTCTGAAATATTGTGTAGGGTTTCTCTCTGAGTGAAAGCAGAATGAGTTTAGAAAGATTTCCATGTACTGTTGTCAGTGTTTCAGGCAGAATGAGCTGCAGTCTGATTGTTGTCTGAGTTCTCGTCATCAGAGAAAAATGCAGGGCGTGTCAGAACCGGTCTAACAAGTCGTGACTGTTTTTATCTAACTATTAATAGTCTGAATCAGGGAGGTGAGGGAGAGTCTGGCAGGCTGACAGCTACAACCTGTAAGGCCGGTTTCCACGTGACTCTGACGTGTTTTTACTCTCTGGATTTCTGAGGGTGTGAAGGCGTCCTCAGATCAGATGCAGGCAGACTCAGGACTGAAGAGGAAGAAATTAGCAGAGTTTCCTTCTCACCTGAAGAGAGTCTGTGAGTAGACCTGAAGAGAGTCTGTGAGTATATCTGAAGAGAGTCTGTGAGTAGACAGGCAGTGATATCATAAAACTGTTAATGAACGCATTCAAACACTTGGTAGTTTTTTTTTACCAGCTGTTCTGTATTCACCTTGCAGGTGCAACTGTGTGGCTTTTATCCTGGATGAAGTGTTTAAGTCATGGATGTTAAAAGTTGAACGTCTTCATATTTGTCTAACATGATAGTTTACTATTCAATCATGAAGTATGACGCTGCGCTGTCAGTACGCTTGTCCATGTTTGTGAAACCCTGGTTGATTTACTGAGTTGATAACCAGCGTCGTAGGACCACTTAGCGAGATCTCATTTGTTAGGGTCAGTTAAGATAACTCAAACATATCCAGGGTCTGTTTGAACGTCTGTCTGAAATATTGTGTAGGGTTTCTCTCTGAGTGAAAGCAGAATGAGTTTAGAAAGATCTCCATGTACTGTTGTCAGTGTTTCAGGTAGAATGAGTTACAGTCTGATTGTTCTCTGAGTTCTCGTCATCAGAGAGGAATGCAGGGCGTGTCAGAACCCGCTCTAACAACTCGTGACTGTTTTTATGTCTAACTCTTAATACTCACTCAGTAGTGTGTGTGCAAGGCCAGATGATTTCAGTAGTGTGTGTGTGTGAGGTTAATTTTCAGTTGCGTGTGTGTGAGGTTAATTTTCAGTAATATGTGTGAGGCTTGATTTTCAGTAGTGTGTGTGTGAGGTGTTCAGTAGTGAATGTGAGAGTATTTCAGTAGTGTGTGTGCAAGGCCAGATGTTTTCAGTAGTGTGTGTGCGAGGTGAGTTTGAATTTTGGCCTACACGGCCCCTCATAGCCTACAGTTATTGTGCTATACCACATTGCCTTTCACTGGATGTATAATGAGCTGCACTAAACTACATTAGCATTTAAAATACCTAGCCATTCTTTTGTGGTTATTTTGGTGAAAGCAACTCAAAAGTAATATAACATTTATTTATTTTATTTTATTTAACCTTTATTTAACCAGATAAAAGCATTGAGATAAAATCTCATTTTCAATGCTGACCTGGCCAAGAAGGCAGCAACGTTACACATAACACAGACATATGAAATACAGAGAACACAACTAAGAAAACAAAAGAGGAAAAAGCAGTCACTACATTGTGCACATTAGGACAGTAAGAAAGGTGCTACTTATTACTGCAAGAGCAGCTGGTAGTGTGACAAAAGTAGTGTGACTCATTACATTTCAGAGACAGTAATATTGTAATGTAACTTATTACTTAAAAGAGACAGTAATAAGTCATATGTACTGTATTACATTTAACTTGCCCAACACTGGACAGGACACATGTTTCTTGATGCTGATTCTAAACATCTGTCTGAAATATTGTGTAGGGTTTCTCTCTGAGTGAAAGCAGAATGGGTTTAGAAAGATTTCCATGTACTGTTGTCAGTGTTTCAGGCAGAATGAGCTGCAGTCTGATTGTTCTCTGAGTTCTCGTCATCAGAGAAAAATGCAGGGCGTGTCAGAACCGGTCTAACAAGTCATGACTGTTTTTATCTAACTCTTAATAGTCTGAATCAGGGAGGTGAGGGAGAGTCTGGCAGGCTGACAGCTACAACCTGTAAGGCCGGTTTCCACGTGACTCTGACGTGTTTTTACTCTCTGGATTTCTGAGGGTGTGAAGGCGTCCTCAGATCAGATGCAGGCAGACTCAGGACTGAAGAGGAAGAAATTAGCAGAGTTTCCTTCTCATCTGAAGAGAGTCTGTGAGTAGACCTGAAGAGAATCTGTGAGTAGACCTGAAGAGAGTCTGTGAGTATACAGGCAGTGATATCATAAAACTGTTAATGAACGCATTCAAACACTTGGTAGATTTTTTTTTACCAGCTGTTCTGTATTCACCTTGCAGGTGCAACTGTGTGGCTTTTATCCTGGATGAAGTGTTTAAGTCATGGATGTTAAAAGTTGAACGTCTTCATATTTGTCTAACATGATAGTTTACTATTCAATCATGAAGTATGACGCTGCGCTGTCAGTACGCTTGTCCATGTTTGTGAAACCCTGGTTGATTTACTGAGTTGATAACCAGCGTCGTAGGACCACTTAGCGAGATCTCGTTTGTTAGGGTCAGTTAAGATAACTCAAACATATCCAGGGTCTGTTTGAACATCTGTCTGAAATATTGTGTAGGGTTTCTCTCTGAGTGAAAGCAGAATGAGTTTAGAAAGATCTCCATGTACTGTTGTCCATGGGCGTAATTTCCACTGGGGACAGGGGGGACATGTCCCCCCCACTTTTCAAAATCCCATTTGTGTCCCCCCCACTTTTTAAATGTGTTTATTATTTATTTTTTACGCAAGCGGTCATCGTCAAGGAGGAGCGTCTGTGTGTGTGTGGCACGAGCGCATCTTGTGAGAGAGAGATAGAAAGAGAGAGAGAGGGGGTTGTTGTTAGCATTTGGTGCTAGCTCGGAGCTAACGGAGATTAGTAGCTGTTTCAACAATAAGGAGAGGGAGAGCTCTTTCCTGTCAGACTTTGAGAGACTGAGAGAGAGACAGAGAGACAGAGAGAGAGACTGAGAGAGAGACTGAGAGAGTTACGTGGGTTGTTGTTAGCATCTGGTGCTAGCCCGGAGCTAACGGAGATTAGAAGCTGTTTCAACAATAAGGAGAGGGAGAGCTCTCTCCTGTCGTAAAACAGGTTCACATGGATAGGATACTAGATAAGTGTGCACACTCATTATATACACTACACATTTTTCTTGGATTTGTTAACACTATAGTCCCTAATATATTTGTAGAAAGGCAGGAAATGGAATTAAATCGAGAAAATGTTTCATTGCGGAGGACCCCTGTTTTGTGTCCCCCCCACTTCTCAAACCAAAGTTACACCCTTGCTGTTGTCAGTGTTTCAGGTAGAATGAGTTACAGTCTGATTGTTCTCTGAGTTCTCGTCATCAGAGAGAAATGCAGGGCGTGTCAGAACCCGCTCTAACAACTCGTGACTGTTTTTATGTCTAACTCTTAATACTCTGAATAAGGGAAATGAGGGAGACCTGAAGAGAGTTCAGCAGGTAAGAATCCTCCGATAGGAATCTGTTCCACCATCAGGATCACTGTGATCACATGGTGCTGAGCCACTGTTTACCTGGACAGAGTCACTGTTTACCTGGACTGAGTCACTGTTTACCAGAGTCACTGTTTACCTGGACTGAGTCACTGTTTACCTGGACTGAGTCACTGTTTACCTGGACAGAGTCACTGTTTACCTGGACAGAGTCACTGTTTACCTGGACAGAGTCACTGTTTACCTGGACAGGACACATGTTTCTTGATGCTGATTCTAAACATCTGTCTGAAATATTGTGTAGGGTTTCTCTCTGAGTGAAAGCAGAATGGGTTTAGAAAGATCTCCATGTACTGTTGTCAGTGTTTCAGGTAGAATGAGTTGCAGTCTGATTGTTCTCTGAGTTCTCGTCATCAGATAAAAATGCAGGTCGTGTCAGAACCGGTCTACCAAGTCGTGACTATTTTTATGTCTAACTCTTAATACTCTGAATAAGGGAAGGAGTGTGAAGGGCCCGTCTTCCAACACTGACCTGGTTTCACTGAAGAGCCTTGAAAATGTCAAATGTTTTTTTTAAGTTTTAGATTATACATCTGGGACTAGATTGCCCGAATTCGAAAAACATATATAACAGTACATGTTTTGATATATATGTTGGGCTATACAAACAATTTGCATGAAAAGTAAATGGGAGATTATATCAAACTTCAAAAATATTCTTCCCCTAGATTTGAACCTCATTGTAATTTGGTTATCAGGGAACTTGTTTTTCCTATTTTCAATGATATATCAAAAACACATTTCTTATCAGTTCACAAAAGACCTCGTTTTAATTAAAGTCCGCTGAACTGTTTCATGTAATTAACGTACATATTTTAAGCCAAACAATTATATATTTTCTAAACCTAACAAATAAGTTTTGTTGAATGGTTACTGAGCGCAGATCAGTTGTGTGGGATATCTTGTGGGGGGCTGGGCTGTACATTACCTGTGGATGTACATTGAAGTGACTGTTTGTGTGTGCAGGTGGGGGCTCTGCTATGGATCAGTGTGAGGACAGAGAGGAGGAAGCCCCCCCCTCTAAAAGCTCTGGGGAACATGACAGCCAGACCAAAGCTCAGAGGTGAGATCACCACCTGTCCATCACTCTTCTCCATGTCACAGCTCAGCACTCATTATTCACTCAAAGCTCTGTGTGTTGTGTTCCAGCCCAGAGCAAATACCTCATTTTGCTGGAGCTGGAGCTGGAGCTGGAGCTGGACCTGGACCTGGACCTGGACCTGGACCTGGACCCAGCTCTGTGTCCAGTAACCAGCTTACTGGCAGAGACCAGAACCAGGTGTGTGGTCGCCGGCTGAGTCACTCTCTTATTTCTTGGTTTTGCAGAAGTAAGAAAAGGTATCCATTGTGACACATGCTTCATACAATATAGACAACAGATACATCTTTAAAAAGTCCCTCTGGCTCCAGAACATCCACAAAGCTGTTTTTAAACCTCTTGGTTCTACACCTTTAGGAAGATTAACCTGTTAAGCCCTGAGCCTGTTTTTCAGGTCTCAGGCTCGAAAATGACATTCCCAGAACAAATGACCATATCTTCCCTTCTAAAATGGTTAAATTAATAATCTTTTTTCTCAAAGTAATGATAAACCTGTGAGTTGGATGTAGAAAAGTCAGAATCAATATAGATGTTTTTTATTTTAAAGAAAATTCAGATTGAACATAGTAAAAAACTGTAAATTATCGTGTCCGTCCAAAAATTCTTTTTTACTTATAGTGAAAACTACCCTTGGATGATGGGTTAGTAGACTAAAAGCTTTAGGAATCCAAAGTACAACATATAATAAGTACCCTGTATCAAGATTGATGCAAAACAAGTGACATTTGACCTTTTTAGAGAGGTTTTGCAAAAAAACAACTTTTATGGGGTCATTTGGGTGGATTTGACCTATCTCTGGCCCCCCTTGCTCGATTTTGATGAATGACATCTCTTTTTAACCGCTAGAGCCAATGGAATCGAGGGGAGGTTCCACATACACACACAGGTTACCAAATAAGGAGTGAGAGTGACGTGTAGCCAAAACCGGAGCTACATTTAACTTGCCCAACACTGAACAGGACACATGTTTCTTGATGCTGATTCTAAACATCTGTCTGAAATATTGTATAGGGTTTCTCTCTGAGTGAAAGCAGAATGGGTTTAGAAAGATCTCCATGTACTGTTGTCAGTGTTTCAGGTAGAATGAGTTGCAGTCTGATTGTTCTCTGAGTTCTCGTCATCAGAGAAAAATGCAGGGCGTGTCAGAACCCGCTCTAACAAGTCGTGACTGATTTAAATATTAAGAATCCCTCAGACGCTGTTTTCTGCAGATTATGCGTTTTTCCGCCCGGGGGCGGAGGGATGGGGTTTAACAGGTTTTAACCTCCGGTCCGAAGGAAGAAGCTGAAATTCAGGTTGCAGGGGGTGGGAGTCTTCATTGAACATGGAGTTAGACAGCCTCTGTAACTGTCTGATGAGCAGGGGCTCCAGGTTTAGCTGTGTCTCACCAGTCAGTCTGCTAGACCACTTTATGATCTGACTGAGACAGTTTCTGCTCTTTAAAGTCAGGTTACCAAACCAAGACATTAAAGGAACAGACAGAACTCACTGTGCTGACTGTCTTCAAGTTTAGGATTGACTCCCTGAATGTCTTTCGTGAAGTCTAAGGTATTAAAAACAAGTTCAGAACCGATTAGGGCATTTGCTAACTCGACATCTGAATTGAAGCCATCCAAAGTCACATGGCGGCTGTTCTTTGGATCCCGAAGGCCTGTTAGGGTTAAAGTACAAAAATACAATACAACAACATATTGTTCTGTAAGATAAAGATGTTCATTCTTGGTATCTTTGCTCTTCAGGGAAAAAAGATGGAGACACCTAGAAAAGTCCTATTAAGAACTTTAGAAAGTTTGTGGGAAAAGGACTTTAAAGGATTCAAGTGGCACCTGCAGGAGGAGGTCCTAGAACTCCCAGGAATCCCAAAGAGTCGACTAGAGGAAGCAGACCGGATGGACACAGTGAATCTGATGTTTCTGCACTACCGCATACACACCATTAAAGTGACCAGAGAAGTTTTGGGGGAGATCAATCAGAATGATCTAAAAGAAAAATTATCAAACATCCCATCAGACCCTACAGGTAGGTCTTTAAAAAAGGGAGTGTACCAAAAGTGATTTTTGTTTTCACAGCCATGCATCATGTGTTTAGACTCCTGATATCCCCCTCAGAGAACCATCACCTCCACATGGTGTTGGGGTTGAGGTACCCCTGAAAGCAGAGAGGTCAGGGTCACTAGTTTCTGGCAAGGTCACCCTGTTGGTTCCAGGTGAGGGGTTGTAGAACCTTTATAGATCAGCATTTTAGGAATCCAATTACCTTTCCTGGATTAGGAAGTTTGGGTTTCGGTAAAATTGTCCAAAATATATCGCCTTTCGTCTCTCCCTAACCACTATTCCTTAACCTCTGTGAAACATATTGGGGTTAATGATAGGAGGATTCATCAGGACTTAGGAAAAGAGAATGTTATGCTTTGAGAGTCCGGCCGCACTGACACTATCCAACGTCATTATGATGCGCCAGCCGATGTTATTAAGAAGGAGAAGACGCTTTATTTCCCTAAGGAGAAATTCACCTCAGTTGTTCACTCGGTTGAGTACAGACTGCGGCAGTAAAACACTCTGCTGCACTGGCTGGGAATTGGACCCGGGGGTCCAGGTGAGAATTATACCACTGAACCACCAATGCTATATTAACGAGTTTCACCTGGTGGGACATTGGAGATATGTAATACAAGTGGGTGTTGGGGAGGGGATGGATCAGAGGAATGACCAGAAAGTCATCAGTGGGTTCCCTATAGAATTTTAAATTCTTCTTCTCGCCTACAAAGCCCTTAATGGGCAGGCGCCATCTTACCTTAAAGAACTCATTATACCCTACTGTCCTACTAGGGCATTGCGTTCCAAGAATGCAGGGTTGTTGGTTGTTCCTAGAGTCTCTAAAAGTACAATGGGAGCCAGAGCCTTTTCTTATCAAGCTCCACATTTGTGGAATCAGCTTCCAGTTTGGAAGACAGGGCGCAGACAGCCTATCCGTTTTTAAGAGTGCGCTTAAGACCTTCCTTTTTGATAAAGCTTATAGTTGGGGCTGATTAGATTCAGCCCCTAGTTTTGCTGCTATAGGCTTAGTTTGTCGGGGGACACTTTACTTCTTCCTTCTCTTTGTCTGTACCTGTGTACTCTCATGTTCCCAATAACCCAGCTTCCCCACATTTATTTTTGGTGTCTATCTACGCCGGGATCTTGAGTCGTGGCTGATCCTGTTGCTGTGGTCCTGAGTCCTGGATCGCGAGCCCTGGATCTTGAGTCGTGGCTGTGCCTGCTGCTGTGGTCCTGGATCATAAGTCCTGGATGGATATCCTCGTGGATTCATCTTCTTATTGTAGACACATGCATTTCCAAACATTTGGACTACCTATGTTGTAAATGTATTATCTTTTCAATTTACACACGGCATCTATTGCACGTCTGTCCGTCCTGGGAGAGGGAGCCCTCCTCTGTTGCTCTCCCTGAGGTTTCTCCCATTTTTCCCCTTTAAACTGTGGGGTTTTTCCTTTTTTTGGAAGTTTTTCCTTGTACGATGTGAGGGTCTAAGGACAGAGGGTGTCGTATTGTCATACTGATATTCTGTACAAACTGTGAAGTCCATTGGGCTATATAAATAAACATTGATTGATTGATTGAGTGGGCTCTGAAATGGCAGTGAGTCCTTGAGTGCTACGTTTTCCGAGGAAACGGACAATTCTGTTTGGAATGAGGTTTGTCCTGCCGAACTGTCAGATATCTCAGGAGGGGGAGTCATGGATAAACCCCGGCTGTTTTCCACAGTGTAGGTTAGCTGCTGACTCAGTCTCAGGATGTTGAATGGGACTGATGCACACTGAGTTCAGGAGGCAGAGCTGAGGGCTTGGAGAACAGCTGTTGTTGCTCAGGTGGTCCGAAGGGACCACAGGGACAAACTGTGGAGGTTTGTCCTGGCATAACATTGGACAGTTGTGATTTAAATTCCTGTTCAATGTTGCATGGAGGCAGACAGTGTCATTTTCCATGTTTTAAAGCTCCCATGTCATGCTTTTCCGGTTATTACCCGTCCCCTTGTGTGTTATGAAGGTTTTTATGCATGTAAACGGTGTGCAGAGTCAAAACCCTCAAAGTACACCCTGTAGCGAGTAAAACTCTAACACAGAAAATACCTCCCCAAAACGCCTCGTTGGAGATACGTCACTGCCCATTTGAGTCTTCCATTTAGTTCCGGGTACCGCCTGATGTCATGCGGTACCCGGAACGAAATGGACCAATCCCGAAGAGCTATGGCCACACCAGCAGCGGCGTGTTCCTCCTCCAGAGGTTCGAAGAACCGGCATTTCACAGACGAAAGCTTCCAAAACATTGCCCAGTTTGAGGCCGGATATGCACAGCTTGTTTGGACCGTTTGGAGCAGGGGAAGATCTGGGTATACAACCTGTAAGTTTGCATTGTTATTTGTGTATTTATCAAACAAGACTGTTTAAATGTGTAAACTGTGTTGGACTGCTAAGCCATTGACACAGTGCTAACTGTGCTAACTAAGTTGCTAGAGTTTCCATATATCAACTCTAATATCAGCAGATGGCCTTGCATACATGTATCTCATAGCAGGAGAATGTCTGCATTCACACACACGGAATACTCATACAGTATACTGTACTGTGATTTACTGTACATTGTGACCGTACATATACTGCATGTAGCTAACGAGGCTAGCTGTATGCTAGCGCAAAACAATGTATTCATGCAAGTTACATTGTATGGTAGCAGAACACCCGTATACGATTGCAATTATAAACACGTTATTGCTAGCCTAATATGAACCTCTAGCTTTTGTTCATAGTAGTTTTATTACACTGCATTATAGTTGCCTTTCCTCCAAGCTAACGTTCATATCGTGTTAGCTACCAAGGTAAACAAAGCTAGGTTAGCATATTAGCAGGCAAGCTGTTCATTACACAACTACTACTAACGAATCTAAAACAACTAAGTTTCTCTAATATTTTGTGATTTGCATTTGATTTCGTCCAGCCAGATCCTGGCGGACAATCCATGACGTGCTAAAAGGCACTTCTACTACTACTGAGGCGTCGTGCTAAAAGGCACCGCACCGACTGTGCGCAGGCAAGATGCAAGGAGGAGGAATGGATGATATACCGTGTGTATATATGTATATTTATGTTCATTTTGTACATTTCTAAAAATAAAGTTTAATGGAAATACTTAGTAGGCCTATCCTTTCTTCCCTGAATTCATATATAGCAAACCATGATTTGATTTCTCATCAAACAGTAGTAGTTTATAACGGGTAAAAATAACTTACCCTTTGTTATGAGCGGCTCGTAGGCCACAAAGACAAGGAGACATACACAAGTTTACAAAACCACGGCACATTTATTGTGGTAAATGCAGAGATAGGTGGTTGAGAGGATCGCAGAGTTAGTCTTCCTGCAGCCGCTTTGGAGAGAGACTGGGGCCGTAGTGTCCGGAGGTGTCCGTGATCGTGCTGATTAGCCTCTTCAGCTCCACCCCATCGTAAGACAAAGGCCCTGGGGCCGTCACACTCTTCTATAACAACAGTTAAAAATATATATGTATATAAAATATACGGCTGTGCCGACGCCATGATAAGACTGATGTTACGCTGAGAGCAGCCGGGAAAAGCACTGTTAGACATGGGCGCAGCCTCTCTGGTGGTTGACTAATCAGAACGAGTGGCCGAGCTGACCAATCGGAGCACACTAGGCTCACAGGGAGGGGGGGGCAAGAGCTCCAACGAGTCGTTTAGTGGAGAAAGTGAATACTGCTGAATACACATGCTTGACAGAGATGCTGTATGCGAAACCAATGTGAGTTTGGAAAATTGCACAGTATAAATCTATTTTAGTATACCTCAACAATGTAATTATGATCAGTGGAAATGGCCATGACATGGGCCCTTTAAAGGGGACTGTAGGGTAACCTCTAAACATCAGAGGAGCACATTGCTCAGCCTCACTGGGATTGCTCACTGCAGATTCTGTCCTAGTCATTTAGTGGGAATGCTGATACAGCATTCCCACTAAATGTTCTTCTACGGACACATTTTTTATTATTCCGCCGGAATTTTGCACCTCTTCTCCTCCTGCATTCAACATCGCAGAAACTCCGTTCAAACATCAAAGCGTTCAGCTCGGTCGGGAATCGATGGCTATTATTTGTATTATTCATAACATTTAATAATTCCAGAGATACATCCCATAATACATCCCATTTTTAACCATTGAAGTCAATGGAGAAAATCTTCAGACTTGAACAATCTTCATGCGACTTCAACTGCTAACTGTTCATTCATACTTTCACTCAGAAACCTCATTCCAACTTTAAAATGTTACACATCTTTCTGACATTATTCGTGTAACACAACTTTTAAATCTGATTCTTACTTTTAGAGATATTAAACATTGTTCAGACCTTGGTAAAGAGGCTTTCTTCAGATTTTAACATTAACTAGAGTGCGTGATGTCACAGCTAGAGGGTAGGAAATCTTGAAATTTGCCTTCATATATTTTGTTTAAACTACCATAATTCCCAAACCCTACATTCCTGAGACATAATCTTTCATGACAAACATAGGAAAACATCTCGTAGCTTGAAAAATGACAAATAATTAAGCAAAAATAATTAAACAAAATGCCTCTTGAGGGCATGAAGTGACAAAAACTTTCAACATGTCTCCATTAAAACCCATTGTAATTTCTGTCTGATATTTCCTCACAGCAGCAGCCGCCCACCTTTAGTTAAACTGCCAAAAAGGCCACATTATTAACCCGAAAGTACACAAAAATTACACTTCAGATACTCAACTTCCTTGACATGCTTCACGTTTTGAAATTTCACAGATATCTGTTATGGTTCTTCCACAAAACGTTCACATGTAACAGGTTTATCTCTCATTCAGAACAATGCAAACCTTTGATCTCTACAGAGCTCGTTAGCTCAAATATAAACACCTGTGTAATGGAACACGATGATGTCATCACTCCAACTGACAGCAGTCAGTTCTAACTGTTCATT